CACGATATGAAACATATTCGACAAAAGCGAATCTGTATCAATCAAATGTTTAAAATTAAAAGGCCATGATTAAAATAGAACATTCTTCCTACTACTAAAGACGCAAGAAAGTACCTACGTAAGCTAATGCTATCATCTTCGATTACGATAGTATATATACTTTGTACCGTCTATTATTTACATGTTGGTCTGCAATAAAACCATCATTTGTTTGCAACTGCAGTCGTATCAAAAAGACTACATAAATCAAAATGAGGCTTTGTAATCTAAGCGCAATTTTTTAAATGCAAAATTATTTTAACTAAAGCCTGTAGAAACCTTGACTGATTTTGATTGATTTCCACAGTTGTGTCCACCTCAATGTTTTCTTGAAAAGCTAATATATTGTTTTCTTAATAAGCGTTGTTCACTTTTGTTTCAATTTCTTCATACCATAAAAACTAACGACAATTTGTCAAACAAGTGTGGCTGATTAGAATACCCATAATAGCAGCGATTAAAAAAGGTTTGAAATATTGCAGCTAGTCGTAACTTCATCTAAGATAATTATATACAACTCCGCCTTCGGTTCTTAAACGCCATAGTGCTTGCTCTATACTACTGCTTTGTTTTATTTTGATTCATTTTAGATTTTCCTCAAAAGAATAGATTTCAAGTTTAAGTGTGGCTGTTTGTTTGTGGTAAAGAAGAAAATAATTAAAATTGTTTTAAAATTAATTTAACTCGATCGTCACGGTGACCGCGTTAGGCGCTACGATTGGTCCGCACGGAAATCTCCACCAATCGCAACGCTAAACGAGTCGATGTGAAATAAACTTGCACTCGGCCCTCTGGACGGCCGGGCTACGTGAGCCCGTTCTTTTCGAGCTACTGCATTCTCAGTCCCATTCACCATCCGATACTTGTGATAGGGATACCCTAATTCCTTCTTTCTATCTATTTAAGTAACCAATTTACCTTCTTTCTTGGTCTCGTCTGAAAATGTTTGCATTCCCGAGGATGAATACATCACAGTGTACAAATATAAATGTATGTAATTCATTTCTATATATGTATATTTATATGTGTGTGTGTAATTGTATATGTTAGTTAAAACTAAATCACTACTATTACAACTGTAACCTCAGTGCACCTACCTCACTAGATTTCTACACCACCCAAAAGTTGGCTGGTAGAGAATGCCCGGGCATTAAGTCCGCCGATGTACCTACACAACTGCATAAAGTTCTAAATTATTAATAAATAAATTATACCTCTATGGTAAGTTAAACGCGTACTTTTCACACATATTTCACAATATACTTACGAACTAATTTCTTAAAAAACTTTGGAAGTAGGCAATTTTAAACACAAATTTTAAGTGTTAATCATGCATTACCGGTAAAGGCGTGGATTTATCACATAGTATGTCACCAGACAGGAAAATTCCGTGCGTAAAGAGGAGTACGTAAGTAAGACTTCTTTTACCTAAGGGGACTGATTTTACTGAGGTATATTTTAGTAAGTGACTGCACAAATAGTTAGTGGAATGTTTTCAGTGTATCTATGTATGTTGATTCCTTTATTTCACCGGAAATTATAGAAGTTCGGATGAAATAAAGAAACTTACATCACACAACGACATCCAAATCTTATAAAATATATAGAATTTTTATCAGATTGGGATGTGAAGTATAACGTTAGAATCATCACATTGTCCGAAATGAAACAAGATGATTTAAAAAATAGTAACTGTACATCTCTTAATCAGTTTTTGATGAGGAAATGATTTATTTTAAAATTTAAATATGAAATTTCTTCTAATATATATAGTATATACATATATATAGTAATATAATATATAGTATTGTTCAACTTATATCACTATATACGGAGAGAGTTGACTATCATCCGCTAAGTGCAATTAACTTACCATAAAAATTAACTGGTTACCTTTAGCGTATTTCAATCAAGGTAACATAACATACAATAATATGCTGCGGTATTTTACGATTTTACAATTTACTCCTCTTTTGAAGAAAAAGTCACTTCATGATCTACATGAAGTGACTTTTAGTACCTACCACTATCTAGTGGTAGGTACTAAAACGGCTACACATCTTGGGGGTTTGATATTCAAATTTATACCTTACTAAAAAACTATAGGTTTTAAAATCAATTGTTTCTTACGCCACTTTATAAAACAATAACACAAAATGAGAAGTTCTGACACTTTTAATAAAATGTCTACGAGTAGTAGTATTAAGTATTAAAGTCTTAAATAAAAATAATTATGATTAGTGACAATAGGTATTTATCTCTATCACTCATAGTATTGCGTTCTATTAATATCTTTAAATTATGTATTCATTAATTTATACAAATTACTAAGATATTTATAGATATTAAGATTACTCTCAACGTCTGCACAGGTATGATAAAATAATTCAGTTAATGAATTCCATACCCGTTATTTATAGTAGGTACCTACACAAAAGACTATATCTATGATTGAACAGTCAATATCTGGTTCAAACATGTTCTTACAAAACAGACAGATCTATATCAAGACTCTTTGTGACCTATTATACCTATCTTTTCAAATAAAATACTTTTCAAAAATAGTCATACATTTTAAGAATTTTTATAGATGTAGCGATTATTGCATATGCACGGGAAGCCGCCCCATTTAAACTTTTAAATCAAGAGAATGAATTGTATAAAGTTCACCATAGATGCTGCAACTTGGTTGAAAAAACCGTTAAAATTCTTAAATTGTTTAAAATTAGTTTCATTTTAGCTATGAACATAATCAGACATTTTATTACAACAAAAGTGAATTAATTATACTTTTAACTATGAATGTCAGAGAAGTAATAATTGTTGATTATTTATTATTGTACTTATAATTTAATGTAATGTTTAATGTATAATTTAATAATTAACCGAGTTCGTTTTCCAAAAACAAAAGTTTTAGAATATGACAATCGGACACAAGAGCAGTCTCTTGTTGACAAGTGGTCAAAGCTGACTGAAATTAGGTTTATTTCTTTCTAAGGTATCCCCGGGCTGTCGTCATTGGCACCTGCGGTTTTAGTTAAATCCTTTCTAATAATAACATGTCACTTTCCTCTCAGCGTTACATTGGGTGAAGCTTTCGGAGTCCGTAAAGACCACAAAGGTTTCGTAATTAACTTTTGATATCAGGTAGTTATGGCATTTACAATCTTCGGACACTAATTTCAAATCTCTATGATTTATTTCCTTCTAGACTTAACTAAGATAGTTCGAGTAATAACCAACAGCAATCGATAAGGGACTTATTTGCCAATTGGTACGCAATATAAGTTTTTAACTATACAGAAAATGATACATTTAAATTTACTAGATTTTTTAGCAATAATAACGTAAGTTACTCTAATATATAATCACTTAATGAAAAACTCAGTCCTACCCTAAAATCACTGCTACATTAATCAATTAGAAACAAAAGGTACAGCACTAGCAGTTGCATAAAAAACATCTCTTTATGAACAATTCTTAAACATGAGGTTTAAGAACCGTTATAACCTGACACATTTGGTTTTAGACATACAGTGTTATAATAAAAACAACTTTTTATTAGACGGTCAAAATACGAATCACGCGCTCGATTCACATAGAAAGGTTAAAGTTATCAACTTGATTTTTAGTGACAAGACCACAAAAGCGCCCGATGTTACCGTTTGCATAGTTATTTCAAGCAAAAAATGAATATTGAATTAAAAACTGAGTCTGCTCGTGACTACGATCGGATAAATTTCCATTGTACATCAAATACCTAAATAGAAAGTAATGATAAATGAAAGCCTACAGTCATATTTAATATTTTATCTACAAATATCTATTGCCAAGAACTTAAATGCCTACTGTTTAGAATTAAAAAAGCTTGATGTGACAATTGACGCACCGGACTTTTATACCATTAAAGTATCAAAGACGAGCAAAGTCCGACCTGTGATAAAATAGTAAATACTCAATACACCTATCCCTATGATGATAGTAATTTGAGTATTATTATAATTCCCTTTTAATAAAACTCGTTTGCTGTTATTAAGTTAATCATAGCCGGTGGCATAATATTATTAAACTATTTTTAGTTTTTTTTGCATAATTTTCCTTTAATGAAATTTATTTATTTTCTTTTTATTATATGTTTTAAAGGCGATAGGTAATTTGTATTACCTACTTTAAGTTGTAGTTTTACGCAATTACACAATTAATAATATTATATATTCAAACATGCTTCAAACCTTACAATAACTTCCTGCAGGTTTACTATCGAATACAACATTTTAAGTCATCACCGTTGAGGTGCTAATTTAAATATATAATAGACCGTTTACAAGGCGACCTTGCTGAAAATATCAATAGAGTACCTATTGTCCTAAGTAGTTGCTATATTAGTAGTGAAGGGGCATTAATTTTAATGCAAATTATTTTTTTATCTTTGCGAACCTGGTTTATTGTCTGCGACTAATTTATATACTTCGGAATGTGAGTTTAGAACTTCTTTTGTTTATTTATGATGAATATATCCCTACTATATAGTATTACCGATACTTAGCCTTACACTATGTATTTCGTTTTAAAAGTTGTCCTCAAAAGCAACATAGAACCGTCATATAGGTACGTCCATTATGAAAAACATTGTTAAGTGTAAAGATTACACTTGCACTAATTTTATTTACAAATTATAATGACCTGAATATATTTTATTATATTTACAATAAATTACATCATTGTAATTGACTTACCCTAAAATACCCTTCAAATAAAACAAGTAAAACTTTTTATACCTATTCAAGAACTATGTTACATTGTCAAAAAATTAAAAATAGATGTAATGTAATATTAATGAAGCAATTGAAATTTACAGGCCATTGTTATTTTCACTTTAATTTTAAAATATCATTTAAACATTATTCATTTATTAATTAAAATTATGTTGTCACATATCAAACAATAAATTAGAAACTAACCTGCGCTAAATCTGTGGGCACCTCCGATTTGACGGTGTTGGCCGCAGCCCACGCCTCAGCGAACGTCTCCATAGCACTTTGAAAGTCCATCTTGTCAATTCACGACGACATCAACATGCCGAAAATTCACACAACATGTGCACAGTGCGATACAGACGGGCAATAGGTTATACACATGCGAGCGGGCCGGCGGCCGGCGCGATACTGCCGCTCGGGCCCCGCCCAGCGAACCGCCCGCGTCGAGAAAAACCGATACCATCCGAGCCTTCCCGTTTCAGTGCTTTTCTTTTTTAAGCCGCTATTTTAACGAGTTTCTTTTTTTTTTCTACCCAAGCCCGGCCCACGGTGGTGGTTGGGCGTCCTCTGGATTATTTACACTTGTAATTCACAGATTGCTACGGTGTGACGGTTAATTTGTTGTGTCGAGGGGTGTTTGGCGCTATCACGATTAGATTAGAACGGTATTGAGAGCTACTCGTGTTGAGCGCACCAATTATGCCATTGTTTTACACTCACGTGTCTATGCGATAGTTTCTTTGATCGAGTATTTCTGTCATGCCTTACGTCAAATGCTTTGGAATAATAAAGCCGAAAGTCGAGTACCGATTTCTCACAAAAGAATGTGAACTTATTGTTATGTGTTAATGAGCTTACTCTTCTTACATTTATTTTTCTAAACTGGAATCTAATACTCAACTGCACTAACACTAAGATAATAACTTACATATAGCTTATATTGACTAGATAATTCTTCAATATTATTCATCGGGCTTATTTTGACATTAATCATTAAATACAAAATTCCTAAACTCAAACGTCATTAACTAACAATAAAAAAGATTTGTGCATAGTTTCAAGCATATCTTCACATAAAATCGCATACGCACTTCGCGCGGTATGCTTTAGGTACTATTTTCTATTCAGATTTTAGTTTTATAGTGTTCTAACAACTCTGCAACCGCTAGCACTAAAGTACTTCCCTACATTTTTACGTTATTAGGCAGTCAAAATAATTGGCTCATCAATAATAATGTAGTAATTTGAAAAGATATCATTCTGGTTAATTGCAATATCCTTGTAAAATGGCGGTGTCAGTGTGGTAGAAAGCATTTTTATTCATTATATAAATCACAGCAGCTTTCCTCTTGCGGGATGTAGGGAAAAAATGTCACGACTTCGTGTAATTTTGTACGTGGCCATTATAACCTTCCGGCTACGTTAATTTTTCTTAATTTTAGGTCCTTTTGCACATCGTTTGAGACTATTTAAATTTTGAATGGAGAATTGGGATAACCGTTTAGAGCCGCTTTGAATTATGTTCTACTTTTTTTTTACTTGTTAAACAGCTAATACAACCTGTTCTCCTGTAAATAAAAGTATTTATGTCACATTATCTGCACGGATATCTACTTGAACTGCAAGCATGGCGTAATAGATGATATGGTCACACACACACACACTTCTATATTTATATATATATAAATATAGAAGTGTGTTTATTTAGAAATATATGTGACATATATTACACCCAAACACAGAACAAATCATTTTCATTAAAATTATAGAGATTTGAATAATATTACGTTTACAGCTCAGGCCGGTAGTGTCTAGATAGAGTCGATCTATATGTTCTACGGTAGAGACGTCACAGGATGATTATTTTGACCAACATTCTTTGTAAAAGGATAAAACAAAAAAACTTTTGATTATTTATTGTAAGCATTCATTCAAGAAGTACTTATAATAGAGTTTAAGAATACGGTTGTTATTTTTTCTTTTTGGGGTTTGTTATACATTTAACTTTTATAATTATTTTTATATTTTATTTTTATTGAACCAAACAGTCCTTTTTAAAGCCTTGTTGGTGTAATAACTAGTGATACTGCCTAGTAAGCTAAAGGTGTTATGTTAGATTTCCATCCCGAATTAATAATTGTAGGATGAAAGTGTGTTTCAAGTTATTATTTACACCTTTTTCCTGTGCGGAAATCCCGTTAAATACCACCCACCGGTGGGGTAGTTATGTCGGACTCGAACCGACTGATAACCGCACGCCGTCTTGGGTACAAGTAGCCGGGGAACCACGTGTACCCTCGAAAAGAAATCCCTGGTATCTCGACGGACCCTGAGCCTTATACGGCTTATAGATGACCCTCTCGTATGTGGGAACCACGATGTTCCCATCCTATTACCTAAAGGATGCGCGTGCTCAGCAACACGTCGCGCCCCTACGTCGGCCTTCTTCTGGCAGTGTGACATGGCCTTATCTGTCTGTCTCTTATGACAGACGGAGGGTGAGTCGTCTGCGGTACCTGACCCGTTCCGTTCGTCCGAAGAGTTGTAAAGTTCTACTGATCCCGCTCCGCCGTCTCCTTCGTAAATGTAACTTGCTCGCAGAAGGAGACGGTGGAGTTCCTTATTATTGACACCTGAAACTCAAAAGACAAAATTGTGTTGCAGCCATTTGAGTGCACTTTTTTTTTAACGTGTGGAAAACCCCATGGGCCTTCACCCCACTTAGGTTTGCCATAGGTTTGCCCTAATCGAACCGGCTAAAACCACACTCCGCGCCTAAGATAGGAGGGGTCCGGGAACAGCTAATATTAAGATATGCGGACCCCCCCAGCGCCTGCCCGCAACAGCGGGGTCACAACTTCAAGGTTAAAGTGAAGGTAGGGGTTAGACCTCCAGTAACTCAGGTAAGGTACTCAGCAAAGAATTGCTTAACACTGGTTTTCTATGAGGCCGTGACCAGCTCTCTGTCACTCCGGTCAAGTTTTGTGCCGAACCATAGTTTCCCCACGATTAACGTTATCGGTGTGCTAGTCATCTTATGCTCAATACACCAAACAGCAAAATATAAAATGTATGTCCTTAAAATATGTATTTAAAGCAGAGATCTCTAAGAAAGATGATGATGGTCTCTAAGAAATATTTAACATATCCATTTTTCATAGTGTGTCATTCAGTTTCCGATCGAATGAAACTAACGGTAAAATAATCACCAAAATTGATTCCTAATTATTACAACATGAAACAACGTTGTGTCATTGAAACGCATGTTAAAACAAGTAAACACGTCACGTCTGTTAGCAAATATATACAAAAAAATCACACGACGCTTACCAGTGTTAGGTACGCATGGTATTTTTAAGATACATTTTATCAAAGATTACAACGGTTTTCTTGTATTGCACTATGTTGTTGTTGTTTTGTTTTGTTTATTATTGTAGTACTCTAAATGTTGGGGTCTTTATTTAAGACAACTTTCACTAACTAAACCCCAGTATCCCCATTTTAATTGCTGTAGACTTTACAAATGCAAAGAATAAAGCAATCAATTTTTTGTGAAATAAAATTTTTAATGTTGGGATCAACACAACAATTAACTTATTGTTTCTAAGAACTATCTTTTTTTAGGTACATAGACAATTGTGATGGGATACTGGGTAATTTTATTGACTATGTTCTAAGGTTTGCCTACGTAGAAATAAGGAAGTAGGTATTTGTTAAATGAATCGAGCACACATGGCGGTACCTTATATCTATTATGAATTGTGACACGGCGCTTAATGGAGATACAACGGATGGTTTATGCCCGTATTGAGAACTGAGTAACTTAAATAACCTTAAGAAATCATTAAAGGTTTTGCCAAAGTACTACCTACAACGCTTTTGCCCACAGAATCGCTTTATTCACTTTTTTTTTCATCAATTCAATTTTTTTTCAGAAACAAAATCCTTTGCTATATGAAAGTAAGTAAGTGATTACCCATGCAACGTGTTTCCAAAACTTGCCAATAATCGTAGGATGAAGGTATGTTTTACTCCTACATACCTTCATCCTACGATTATTGGCAAGTTTTGGAAATTGGAAGTTTTGGGTAAGTATATAAATAAAACTAATATTACCTATCCGTTAAGATTTAATACCATTACCTATTTGTGCAAAAAATGCAGGGTTTAAGTTATAATAGAATTCTGCTTGTTGTACTTACTGTAAGATCAAGTTAATATTTAATTTGAAATAGTAAAATAATTAGGCAAATGAATAAAACAAGTACAATGACGTCTATGATGTAAGTATACCATATATACTGAAGCATAAAACAAAGTATATTTGTCATCTAAAATAACATGAACAAAGACAAAATAAAACAAACATCATATCAAATTCACTTTTGAAGAACACAAATACGAGTCGACTTACCTTTCGAACTCTTTGAAATACCTTATGCCTTCCGACATATACATATATGTATATTTTAACCGTGGAATCATAGGAATCATCATCATGCTTCATAATTACCTCTCATCACTGTGAGCTCTGATGCTGATAATAATTTTCTTACTTATATGTTTAGTGTGTTAAATTATTTGTACGTAGGCAAATAAAAATGTCTTATTTAAAATGATTTGATTCTCACTTACTTTGTATTTGGTAATCAAATAATCTCTTCGAATTAAATAACATTGAAAGTACCTACTTCCTATTTAATTACCTAACTCCTTCAATATCATTTAAAGATTACATCACATACACTAAGTGGAAGAATTGTATTCGTTAAACTCTGAAATAATCTAGTTTTAAATATACTATACTTCCTTTGAACTTGAAAGTATTCTTTTAAGTTCAGAATACGCCAAATACCTATGCATGTTCCCCCATCACACAAAAAACTTTAAATTTTAGGTTTGCTTACAGAATATAGACACTTTTTGTGGTAGGAAGGTATGGGTGAATAAAGAACCTTCTACCTCATCGATTGGACGATGGATTGCGTCGAACGTTGCAAAAATGTATCGAACTTAATACCTACTAATGAGTAAGATATCACGTGGTATACAAAAACAATTCAGTCGTATTGAAAACATCCATTTGTAGTTGCAGATGCTATGAAAATAAACGTGAAAAAGATGGTATCGTCTCTGAGACCTACTTAGTTCTAAAACATACAAGCAGCCGTAATGATCAAAATGTATGCACTCCATGTATACATAATACATGAATAGGTAGGTAACTATATTCTAAATAACTCCTATGTCGGTACCTAATGAACTATCTTTCTAATTCTTCTAATAATCATGAT